AGCGCTGCTGCCCGGCCCGGCCGGGGAACAGAGGGCACGCCCGGGCAGCAGACCTGCCTGCCGGGAGAGCGATCCGCCCTGGGGATACTGGGAGAAAGCTCTTCCTCTGTGCCCTGGGAGCGCATCTCAGTTCATCTGCTTCCACAGAGCAAACGCATCTTTTTCTCCACCTGGGATCCCAAGTGTCACACCAAGCCTCCTACAACAACATTTACATTGGGGCAGCATGGGACTTGGGTGTAACATGGTAAACTACCCCTGACCTCCTGGGCACCCCTCTGATCTGAGCAATCCTCTCCAGCCCACCTCACCAGAAAGGCCAGGGGCAGGTGGTCTGGCACCTGCTCCACGGGCAGCACATGAGACTGCTCCCAAAACCATGGGACAGGCCTAGCAGCACATGGGAGCCCCTCAGTGCCACTATACAGAAGTATTAAGAGAATCACAGAATAGTTTGGGTTGGAAGGGACCTTCAAACATTGTCTATTGCAGGGGCCTAATGCATCTTCTCTGTACAACATGACCCCCAAATGTCACAGGGGTCAAGTTTAGCCTCCCACTAAAGCACAGATTTGAAGTCCATGGAAAGGCAGGTCGGAATGAGAGTTCTGAGTAAAAGACAAAGGTACACAAGCTAAGAAAAGTGATGGAAACATCACCAGAGTATGATTTTGTAAAGAACAGAAGTACCTAAAAGTGGCTGTTAAAAACAAGGAAACCTCATAAAAGGTTTGGCTTTCACCTTTGAATTGTTGACTTGCAATTCACCTTCATGTGCTGCAAATTTGGCTTTAATTCAGATTCAGAAAGGAGAAATAATCATAAAGGCAACCCAAACATTCCTTTGAACTCGACCCAGCGGTGCAAAACGCACACAGAGAGAAGTTACCTTTTAAAGAACTCCAAGTGCTAAGAGACCCACACACAATTAAACATCTTTTTTCTTTTTTAATTTAATTCGAAATAAGAGATAAGAAATAATAAATCTTCAATAAAATATATAAAATTGTACAAGGCATCCCTTTCAAAGGGACTTTCCTATAATGGAAGATTGGGGTGAGGAGGGAGAGGGGAAGTTCATCTATAGTGGGTCCCAGGCAGCAACAGTACCTGGGTCAAAACAAACCAAAACCAGCAAAACCTCATGGCTTTTTGTTTGTTTGTTTGTTTGTTTTTCTGCATTTTCTTTTCTTTTTTTGTTTTTTGTTTGTTTGTTTCTTTCTTTCTTCCAGAACATGTTAAGAAAATAAATCCAGGAAAAGCTCTGCCTTCAGTGCTCCACAGCCTTTTGGAGGAACTTTCTCACAAAGTTTAGCAAAAGTAATACATGTAATACAATAGTTATAAGGAGAAGCCTGGGGAAGACACTGCCAGCACTTAGGGAGCTCCCACGGGGACGGGCAGGTTACGCAGTCTCTTGGCACCCCACCATTCTACTAGTAGAGTTGTTTGTTTGTGATACCCGGATCTCATCTAAGAAGGGCTTGAAGCATGAGTCACTTACATTGGCATCCTCAGCAAGTGAAGGAGAGGAAGACTTGGGGGTTCTTCTATTTAACACAGACTGTTGGAAGTACTAATAAAAAACCCCAAACATCTCCCAGAAGTGTTCAACAATCCTTTGCTCACCACCACTGTGGAAACAACCCACGTCTTCTTTCCCCAGAAAGCTTCCTTCCTTCTCTCTTGGTTTTCAAAGAGCATTGCAGAGCCAAGATTACCTGACTGTAGCCAAAAATTTCTAAGCATGCCAATAGGAAGAGATAAAGACCAGACTGCCTAATAACTCTCCCTTGGACTTTACCTCCCTTCACAGTGCTTTACAAATGCTGAAGCTATTTATACAGATAAAGGCATTACAGGAGCCAGAGGTGGATAAAGCTGTACTCTACATTTAGGTGCTCTGATGCTCATCTTGTTGCAAACACCTGTTGAGGTTTGGGATGCAAAAATTTTCCCTACCCCCAGAAATGCAGGAACTTGCTGGCTCTGAACTTCACTCAAGCTCTACTGGGTCTAGTTTCTATTTACACAGTGTCTCTAGCTAAGGGCTCTGCTTTCTTAAAGAAAAAAAAAACAAAAACAAAACCCAAACAACAAAACCTTGATTATTTCTTTTTATTTCCCTCCCCCGGCTCCCATATTAGGTGATGGCAACTTTGAGTGTGGGTTTAGGGTATGCACCCCTCTTACTTTAAGCATGTGCTGGGCCCCATCAAGAAGGCATCAGGAAATCTCTGCCTCCAGAGGATGAGATTGCTTTTTCACCCATTCTTTTTTATTCTAGTTTTATGTGCACTGTATAAAACCTCTACATCTGCTCTATTTTTTTAATCTTTTTTGTTTGTTTTTATATATTTTTTTTCTTTGAGGATCAGACTCTGAGCGCTCAGAGCACTCTCAGAAGACACCCAACCTGTAGCATACAGGACGCCTTGCTTTGCTAACGCAAACTCCCGTACACTCAGGATGGCAGATAGAAGTGTGCAGAAGGAACAGCCAGTACTGGTTGGGGTGCTGCCTTCTCAGGGTTAGACATGATCCACCAGGAAGTCTGTCTCACTGTCACTTTGTCTTTCTGATCTTCTTAGGATAAGTGGTACATGCTATATCCAACGGGAGTAGCATAGAGTCCAACGGGTGGGATAGGAAGCACAGGTCTGTGAAAAGGATAGGATGTTCCATACAGTGAGGCAGCCTGGATGGGAGAGTTGATGGGGAAAGGGAGGCTGAACCCCGATGGCAACATGGGCTTTGCTGCCATTTTGAGCTTCTCTAGCTCAGCCTCCTGCAGTCTCTTGGCCTTGGCCCTCCGATTCTGGAACCAGATTTTGACCTGGGTCTCTGTGAGGTTGAGGGAGCTGGAGAACTCGGCTCTCTCGGCGATGGACAGATATTGCTTCTGGCGGAACTTGCGCTCCAGAGCCAGCAGCTGGGAAGTGGTGAATGGGGTTCGGGGCTTCCTATTCGTCTTGTGCTTCCTCAGGGTGCAGGCAGTGGGGCTCAGATGTCCTGCAAGGAAGGGAAAGGCCGGTTATCACAAAAGCAGGGAGATCTGGCTGCTCTGGAATGATGCTGTGCTTGAGAGGGCTAGGATTAGGAGGAAGGGGTATGTGAAGAGACTGTCTTGCCAGGTGATACCCTCAAAGCAGGGAATCTTTCTGCAAGTGGCTCTGGAAAGCTTTTTTCTGAACAAACTTGTGTTCACAGGACTTGAGCCAATGTCCTGGGAAATGAAATCTTTCCTCAGCAATTTCAAAATGACAGTTTGTAGGCAAGGAGGGCACAAAGGATTCCCAGATACACACGCAGCTGGTCGCTTTAGGTAGCTTGGTAGCTGCAGAACTAAAGGAGTAACTCTAGCAAAGCATGGGACAAACCTATCTGCAAAAGCAAGAGATCCACAAAAGTGAATCTTGCAGCAGTGCAAGAGAAAAGCTCAGCCCCGCTCCAGGATTTCTCTACCAAGAGCAACAAGTCAACCCTATCTTTTTTTCTGTCAGCTGAAGAAGTGGGTCTCATAATTTTTGTAGTTTAGATAACTGGGCATTTTTATTGCTATTTCTTCTTTATGAGCAAGTTTTTCCTCTGCTTAATACCTTTTCAATGAATGTTTTCTGATATTCAACAAGTGTAAAAAAAAAATTACAAAGCAGTCCATGGTTAATTCAACATTTTGCTATTATGACTTTTGCCAATTAAAAAACAAAACAAAAACCCCAGAACAAACATGTAACTGCAGCATCTGTAGCCAGTACAAGTCAGGAAACCTACTACCGTTTGTGCTTGCCTTGTAACCCCAGCTAGGTTAGCCACATGTGCCCGCGATGGCACATCACTGACTTGTCTTTAGATTAACTTTTCATTTCACTAATAGTTTTGCAAGCTAAAGAATAATTACAAAGCGTGTGGCTGACTTGAAAAGCGTGACTATTTGCTGTGTTTCAGATCACTCTCAGGGCATATGACAAACCACCCTGGCTCCCCAGCTTGATCCAGAAAAATGACACACAGGCTGCCCTTAAGAGGCTGCTAAATTTTACACATGCTGTAGTGCCTGCTTCAAACGCTTGTCAGTATTTGCACATCACATTTTCTGGACTCCTTTCACTTTGCTCTTTTATTTTTAAAAATAGACAGCACCACGAAGTTATTGAAGTGCTATCATACAATTAAAAATTAATCCCACGAGGAAAGTTTTTTAAAGTTCAGAAAGGGGAGGAAAAAACCAGCTACAGTAGAAAAAAGTTAAACCCTTCTTACTATTCTTCTAGATACTGAAAGTGAAAAATAAAACCCTCTTAGAAAACAAGTTGTCAAATACCATCTTGTGATCATACGAAGGCATTTTAGTAATTAAGGGGCTCACCATGACAATTGATTCACTTCTAAAACTGCACTAAATTAAAACTACACTAAATCGACCCTAAGTTCACTACTGGTCACCCCGTATTTCCACTCTCTCTTTCTAAAGGCAACTTTTTCTCCAAGGGAAACTCTCTAAAGTCCCGGCTAAGAGGGGGTCCTGCTCAACCAGGCGGGATGGGGTTTATTTACGAGGCCGCCAGTGACTCTGGGGATCGCGCCCCATCCCAGTGCTTCCACGGCTCAGGGCTTAGCCCGACCAGCCCCGGCTGCAGCTGCGCACGGAGGAACGGCAAAAACCCGCTTTTACATTAAAATCCGGACAAGTATTTCCCCCGGAATACATCCAAGTCTTTACGGTCTTCTTCCCTCGCTGTCCCCCCAGGGACTGCCAAACAATGATAAGAAGCAGGGACCATCGCTGCCGCAGACCCTATAATTGTGTCTATCCTGTGACAGTCCCCCAAATACTGGCCGCAGTGGCTTGTTTCCCTGGGTTTGGTTGTTTGTTTTTTTGTTTTTTTTTTTCATTTTTTTTTCCCCTCCTCCTGTTTATCCTCCTTTTCTGGCCAACGTCGGACCAAAATCATCACTTGAAGATAGTTCCCTCTCCGTATTGCTCAGCTCTTTGCCCAGTTCACCCCATCCGTAATATTAATAATAATAAATGGAGGAGCTGCTTCTAATGTCAAACCCTCCAAGGGCAGACGGGCTTCTTGCAGGGTAACTACTGCGTCTCGCTGTCACACGGGCTCCGAAGGACCCGAAGGCCGGGGGCGGGTGGGAGAAGGGAAGATGGTAGAGGCTGAAAGACCTTCTCTTCCCCGATCGTCATTATTCACCCCAAATCCCGATGAAAACATCGGACCTAAAATGCCCAGCTATTGAAGTTCTGTAGAAAGCCGTTTTTCAGATCTCTGAAACACCGATTTGAGTAAAGAAAAAGGAGGAATTCCGAAAGGGGAAAAAAAAAATGTACCGGGAGAAGACTAGGCCGTGCTTAAGTCTAAGGTTTCCAGCATTTTAGAGAAGGGGTCCAGGTAGGACCACATGCTGCTTTACACACTTCTGCAGCTTACTGGGGGTAAAAATCACAAACCGGAGCTACCCAAGAATGACACGGACGAGCTGCCGTCCTCCCGGGCTCTATCCCAGCACATTAGAAATCAAGTTAATTCGGGGTTATCGCAAAGGAAAGGAGGTGGCTGAAAGCCAAATTGAAATGATGGTCAAAAAAATAAAGGAGCTGTAATAGAACTAAATTTCCTTCCCGCAATATTAGTTTACAGGAACAAATTCTGCGAGATTGTCCATCTCAATAGTAGCCGTCTGTAAAATTACTGACTTAAATAAATACATTTAATTTACAGCGAGTAGGTAGGGGATGTGGAGCAAAGTGAATCGATCTGGTAATGCAGGTGTACAGCCGCCAAGGCTCTTGGAGGTAGGTAGGAAACTCAGCACCGAAGTGCTGCGGATCTCACCTTTTCCTGGAGGTAGTTTTGGGTATTTTTATTTTTTAAAAGCAATTGGTTTTGGGTTTTTTTCCCCTCTTTTTCAAAGGTTTGTCACCGAAAGCAGAAGGCAGCTCGGCACAGACCCAGCAGCATGGCTCCAACAACCCAAAGGCTGAAGGGGTGACCTGTCACCTACTGACTGCTTGTCCCTAAGGCGGTGGGGACGGGGTCGGGAGAGATCCAAGAATAAAGAGGTCGGGCCCAGCTCGGGGAACGCTTGACAGACGGCATTCAAGGAGCAAGAGAAGCAACCACCCGTGCCAGAGGAGACCGCGGCAGGACCCGGCGCGCAGAAAGCGCTCAAGGCTGGAAAGAACAATTCCCGACTTTAAGAGGTTGCTTTGCAACGTTTGGTGTCGGGAGGAAAACTTCCAGTTCTCGTGGCAACGGGATAACGTAAGTGGACGAAGTGGCAGCTGGTGAGCCGTGTGTCAGGAAAGGGAGCTAGTCCGTGGTCGCTCCCGAATTTATATACATGCACAGGTATATAAATATATAACTGTATAAATATATAAATACAACATATAAATGTAGAAATATGTTACATACATATAAAAATCGCAAGCATAAATATTAATGCATATATAAAATAGCATATACTTATATATGTATGTCTAGCGTGCCATAGACCGGCTCGGCATCCCGGGAGCCG